AGCCTGGCATTACCCCCCTCCCTGCCCTGTCTTTGTGCACAGCACGATGACCTGCGCCCCGTGATCATGCGCCGACGCTCCTCCTCCGACCTCGCCAAGCAGAAGTTCGGCACCATGCCACTGGTGCCTCTGCACGGGGACAGCACCGATGCCACCATGCTCTCCGCCAACCAGACCCTGGTAAAGCCCTCACAGCTACCCCTGCCTACAGGTGCTCCTGCACCCACCCGGGTCCACGCACCCATCCCAAGACCATGCGCCCACCCCAGCGGCCCCAGAGGCGGGTGCATGCTGCCAGGCACCGATGGATGCTTTGGGTGTGTGTCCCCGTGCTCGGCGGTGTCTGTCCCCGTGCTCGGTGGTGTGTGCACTGCATGCTGTGCTCGTGTCCGTGGCAGCTCTCCATGTGTGCAGGGCCGGGTGGGCACAGGGGGTGCTGTGCCCCGCTGCCCATCCGCTGCCTGCTGAGGTGTCAGTGACCCTGCTCCGCGCTGTCACATGCTTACCTCTGCCCGTCTCCTCTGTTTCTAGCGCCGCCTGCACACGCGAAGGACTTTGTCCATGTTCTTTGTAAGTACCTGCATGCATGGAGCACGTCCGTTGCTGGCTTTGCACCGTGCCTCCTGGTCACGGCGGCAAGGGCTCACCTGCAGCATCCCACCTGCACTCAGAGATGTACCCAGCCCATCCTGTCCACACCGTGTGGCAGAGGAGGGGGATGACCATTGCTCTGTGTGTCCCATGTCCCTGCATGGTCCTGGTGTTTGCAGGCAAGACCACAACAGTCCAGCCCAGCTCCCAGCACCTCTCCTGTCAGGCCCTGTGTTACCCAGAGGGGCTGAACATAAGGAAGATGAGAAAATAGGTTTGGGTCCTTTTCGCCATCAGTTTATTTTCAGGAGGGCCACCTGGCTGGACCTCACCTTGTCTGGCTTTGTGCTCTGCTTGGGAATCCATCTTTTCCCCAGACCACCTCTGCCAAGGGATGCTGGGCTGGTGCCACAGCCTGGTGGCATGGACCCACGCCTTGGCAGGAACCAAAACACTTGCCCTCCATCAGCAAGGGGGGAAGAAAGGGCAACAGTGCCACAGCAGAGAGACCTGATGGAGGGTGGGTTCCCCACGGGTATCAGCCCCACTGCAAGGGGGCAAGGCTCCCCGGGCAGCACCCGAGTGCAGGGAGGGCAAGGTGAGGGGGGACAGAGGGGTATGGTTGAGCAGTACGGACAGTGCCCCTC